TGGGGAATTCTGGGAGTTGAAGTCCACTCATCTTAAAGTGGCCAAGTTTGGACAACACTGGACTAGATGGTCATCAGGATAGTTGTGGAAGACAGAGAGCCCCGTCACTCCAGGCTTGGTGGTCATGTCCCACAGATGGTGGTTGTGGGTTGCCTCTTTAGGCAACAGGCGTCTCCCGACAGCTACCCTTTTTCCTTTCCCCCAGAGGAGAAACAGGAACAGCCAGGTAGAGGTCAGCAGCTCTGGGCTTTGCCTGGAAGCACCCCTGCTGTCAATAAGCCTCAGTCATGATGGTAGAAAGCTGGAACCCAGGCCAGACGTTAAACCAGGAAAGTCACCCAACAAACTTAACTAGGTCCGCGTTGTTTGCGTTGAGTGATTTAATTTATAGCCTGCCTTTTGTTCAGGCAATCCTGTTCCTATCCTTGTGAGGTAGGTTGGACTGAAGAGAGGGAGAAGGAGGTCCCAGGTCACCCAAGGAGCTTCTAGCTGAGGAGGGCGTAGAACTAGGTCTCCCCAGTGCCAACTTTGTGGCCACTGTTCCCCACCAGCTCTCGGCTGAAGACCGAGAAGCTGCATTTGCACAGCGCTAAGCTTGATCGGCGTTGACATTTTGGGGCGGGGGGGTAATTCAGCCTTTGGTGCCCTCAAGGCAGTTGGTTATTACAGATCCAGAAAGTGGATCCTACTATTGGCAGTCTCTTTGTTTTTTAAGGATCAAGTGGGAGCTGATTGGAAAGACCCTCTTCCTTTGCCCAAGTCTCTGCGAGTTCAAGGACTTGTGCGTGTCTGTGTCTGTGTATCCGAGTGTGTGTGTGTGCGTGTGTGTGTGTACAAAGCTGACCGACGGAAAATGAGTTCTGTTCCCAGGCTCCCTGGTGAGCCTTTGCAGCTCAGAGTTCTGGTGCTTCTGTGAAGTCCCTCTTGGCTCCGTAACCATATATATTTCAGCGAATTGCCCAACCAGGGGTGATTCATTGTCTTTGAGATGGGGAGAGGAGGGATCCGGGCACAGAAAACGAGAAAGAAAACTGGTGGGGTGTGGGCTGGGCCTGGCTGGGTGGAGGATCTTAACTAGCTTTGCAAAGGTCAGAATGCCGTTGGTGAACTTGAGGGTTGGCACAGCCACGCATCCCTTTGGTCGAGGATTGTGGCCATGGGGACACCCGGCCTTTGAGCTCCTTCTCCGGCTTCCTGAGTGTGGGGTATGCTGGGGGCTTCTCTGCTTGTTCTTCATTCTTTAGAGCAGGGTTCCTCAACCTGGGCAACTTTAAGACGAGTGGACTTCAACTCCCAGAATTCCCCAGCCTTGGTTTCTCTTCCGTATCCATCTTCATCCATCCATGCTGGCTGGGGAATTCTGGGAGTTGAAGTCCACCCGTCTTAAAGTTGCCCAGGTTGAGGAACCCTGCTTTAGAGGGACACGTATCTCATGTTCTCGTTCTCTCCCCCCTCCCCAGCAACGCTCCCGTGCCCCCTCACACTCAGGCATCGTTTGCCTCACACGCTTAACGTGATTAACCCACTTTCTCGCCGCGCCGCGTTCTGAATCATCCAATAAAACGGTCTAAGTTGATCCAGCAAGCTCAGCTGCGAGAAAATTAACCAAGATTAAAACCCGTCAAGTTTATTAGGTTGTACAAATGCAGCCGTTGCATCTTTGGCTGACCCAGTTAAGCGCGTTGGGCGAACCCCGTCGTTTTCTCCCCCGCGCTCATCTTTTCTCTTCTCACCCCCGTGCGCGCACATTGCACGTTCTCTGTCACCCACAAGCAGGCACAGGTTCTCTCCGGCACACTCACCCTCTCCCTTTCATAGGTGTGCTTTTTCACGCACGGAAGAAGCTGAGCGGCAGTGGTGAATATTGACACCCCTGGCAGCTTCCAAGATATCCTCAATTTCCTGCCCTTTCCTTTGGCCCTCTTGAGGACTAGATACTTGCCCGTTTTCAAAGTAAAACTCGGTTACAGCTCAGAATGGGGGATTCTGCTGCTCCTGCAAAATTCTACCCTGGGGCTCCTTCACATATATTTTTGTGCTGGGGGACAGCTGCTGTAGCCCTGAGGAGGTTCTGTTTGCTCGTGAAAGAATGGCTACTCCAGAAATGGCTTGAAGCATTTGTCCCTGGTAATGTGGATCAGGACTCTGTTGGGGGGGCCCACGGAGTGTGGTCAAAAAAAGTCAAAATGGAAGCCTTGAAGGTCTGCCATCGGGGACTTTTTTTTTAATCATGCCCTGTGGGCACCCCTGCCCTGCCTCCTCTCAGTGAATTCACCGGGCAGACCACAGGGTAAGAGAGAAGGAGGAACCTTCATCCCGCCTGGGGAAAAAATGGGGTAACGTGGGAAGGGTCGTTGATATTTCATTTCCTTCCTACAGATTTTTGCTGTCCGGGGAAAAAGGGGAAAGGAAATCTCCATTCATACAAGGGTGATATTTTTTTCTATCACAGCGAAATGAAAGCACAGCAGAGCTAAGATAGCCATGCTCTCTTTCACCCTCGGCCCCCTGCCCCCCCTTCCATAAATTGGAAGAAAAGAATCTGGTCTGCCTTGGTGGATGGTTGTTCCCAGACCTGATGCCCTCCCAATGCTACAGATCACACCATAGGTTAAACATGCATCTGTAAATCACAACAGCAGGATTCACTTAGTAGCTGCAGTTCAGTGTTTTTCACCCTTGGCAACTTTAAGATGGGTGGACTTCAACTCCCAGAATTCCCTAGCCAGCCACGCTGGCTGGGGAATTCTGGGAGTTGAAGTCCACACAGCTGAAAAGTCGTCAAGGTTGTTTTTTTTTTAATAAATTTTTTATTAAAGCTTTTAAACAAGAATCTAAAAACGAACCCAAACTGATATAAGGGAGAAGACAAAGAAAAGAGAGAAATCAAAGAAAAGGCAAGAAAAAAAAAGTTAGGAAAAAAATAGAAAAGGAAAAAACATAAAGCAGTGGCTTCTGATATTCTTCACAGCAGTTACAAGTACAAATATATTTTAACCTCTCTCTCTAATGGCACATCATATTAAAACGTTGTCAAGTCTGAAAAACACTGCTGTAGCTGGACAAACGAACCACGTGTGTCTTAACAGGATTGCGCGGTTCCCGTAACAATGTCCGGCTTTCTGAGCCACAAGCCCTACAGCTCCATTTTACATAATGTGCCACCTTGTGTGAGCCCAACCTTTCAGCCTTCCTTTTCAGCCCCATTAAAATTCTGAATATAGCCGAGAAGAAGCTTGAGTAATGTTCTCCGCTGGCAGGATGCTGAGAAGGGGCTCAACGTGAGAAAGCTTTCAAAGGGGACCCTGTCTGTTCGTTGGCACGAAGGCATAAGAGGACCTACGTTCCTCGCCTGAAGACTTCGTCGAGCCGGAAACCACAAGAATTGTAGGGCAATGCTGGGGGTTCCTGATGCGAAAGGGAACTGAAGCTGAGTGTATACCTTGAATGTTAAGAAATGAATTCCTGCACATACAGAACAGTTCATTTTCCTGCCTCAGCTAATGGGCAAAAGAGTTTAAAACGATGGGCCGATTGCGCTTGAGAAGTCAGAAACGTAAGCTAGAGTGTTGCACCGCAAGGCCCTAAAGACCAACCCCAAAAGTGCATATTGAGTCTTTGATTTTATATGGAGCCAGTTAAGGGTCCTGTCGTACCTCAAGGGATGGGAAACCAGAGACCTTCAGGGCTGTGTGAATAGTGCTGTTCTGGACCCACAGCAAGGGGGAAAGGACCAAGGGGGGCTTCCCAACGGTAGACTGGTACAGGAGTCCAGGTGGTAAGCAGCCTGGACGTAGATGGGGGGTCCTTGGAAACAAGCCGCAGGCATTCGGGGCACCTCTGCATGGAGAGCCAGGGCCCCTGACCGGTTTATTTTCTGCGCCGCTGCTCCTCGAGCGGTTTGTGGGAGAGCAGGACAAAAGCAAAGCTGCGGGGAATCGCGAAGACGGCCCGTGGGGCGTGTCTGAGGGCCATCGGCCAAGTCAAGCTTAGCAGCCCGGTAAAGCTGTGTGAAGTCAGGGATCACTGCTGGCCCAGAAACCCGGCAGCCTGGATCGTCTTCTGAGAGAATGAAGAATGAGTCCTGGGCCGGTTCTACAAGCAAGTGGGACCCATCCCAGGCTGGTTCTCCCGGAGTTCACTTTGGAGCTCCCAGGCTTATCTCAGGGAGGGCAGGACGCTTTACATTTTGGTCTAGCCCAACAAGGTCACGCTGTTCTCGCTCCCCCTACCCCACCCCACCCAGAAAAGGACCACTTGCTCCGAACCCCCTGCTCTCCCAGCCTTGTTCTCTCCAGATTTGTTGGCCTGGTTTGCGTATCCCGCTGAGCCATCCTGCCCTTTGTGGGCTTTTCGCGGAGGGCATAACTCCACGTTTCTACCTGTAAGCGCCATAGTTTGTGCCGTGCGTGACCCCTGCCAATTGGGGCTTATTTGTCATTCTCGAAGCTGAATGAGCTGTGATGGTGGAACCCTAGCGAATTGGAACTGGCCTGTGGCGGGGGAGCCGAGAGGGGTCCCCTTTTGGTGCTCACGATGTTTTTCTTTTGTCTCCCCTTCGCAGCTCACCTTACAGAGCACCAAGTCCCGTGTGGCCTTCTTTGAAGAACTTTAGGACCCCCCGTTGCTCCTGGGACAGCTCTCGCCCAACGGAACCTCCTTGGGAGGACGAGCCATAACCGGAGATGCATCGCTTCTTCCGAGCTGGGGGTTGCAGAGCGACTCCCTTTACGGGTGCAGTGCATCGAGGCATTCGGTGGCTGGAAGAGTTTGGCGTGAATCCTTGTAGTTCTTAATAATCTCTGTATAGCAAACAGTTACGTTTTTAGCTTTCTTTCTTTCTCCCCCCCCCCTCTTCTAAGCGTTTGTATTGGTTGTGACTTTGATTATGCTCCTACTGCAGGAGACTGGATTCAGTATTGTTTCGTTCCTTCTCTTGGCCCTCCTTGCGGGGGCCACGAACGATCCTTTCTCTTCAAGACAGAGAGACAGTCCCTAAATCTCCCACGGTGGGATCTGAACTTCTTGGAAGCTCCCCTGGAAAGCATTTGTGTGTTTCATCAGCAAAATTAAGGGCTTACAAGGTTCCTTATGGAGCCTTACTAAATCCTTAAGTTTCAACGGGCTTTCCCTTGATTCTGGTGGACTTTGAAGGGGTTTACTCTATTCTGTAAGCCGAGAAAGCCAGATTCTGTTTGAGATTCATGCTCGGTGTATAAAAGGCACGTTTGGAGACCTGTCGTTCTAATTTCAGGATGTTAGTGAAGCAAGGATTGAGGAAACGGAAGAGGGAAGGTTAAACCGGGGTGGAAGGAGTGAAGGAGTTTGAAGGCCCAGAAGGTGGAAGCTGAAGTGAACATACCCCCGCCCCTAGGAGGCCAGCCCCTGCCCTTTGGGATTTTAAACACTTTGATAGCCCCGGCATGCCTTTATACATTTTTCTATGCAACATTGATGGTTGGAAATTTGTTTTTCAGAAGTAAACAGAGCACAATGCTGTAATGGCTTCATACTGCCTGGAAAATAAATAATTAAATGAATAAAATGTGGGGCACACCATTTTAACTACAGGGGAGAGTCCCTGTTAGGATCCATTTCTCTCCAGCTTCTAGTCTTTGAACTTTGGTCATTTTTAAATGTAATGTTTGTACAATACTTCTGTGAGACATTATCTCTTTTATTAAAGTCTCCGCTATTTTTCAAGCTCCCCGGCGTTTGTTCTGCCTCCGCTTCTCCCTTTCTGTCTTTGTTTCGTACGATTAGCAAAGGCTGTAATAATTTAAGGAGTTGGCAGATTTGAAGATGGATTTACCGGGCCAGGGAGTTGTTTCTATCACATTCTGGCCTGGTTACCAGACATCACAGCAGCTACAGCTTTTAGCCGTAGCCCCGCTTCCTCCTGCCCTTCTGATCTACTCCCCATTTTGATCGAATCCATCGACCAGATTTGCGGCTTTATAGAAAAAAAAGCATAACATGAATGGAGGAACCAGAAGGAGGTCATGGTTGTAAAGGATGAGAGGACAGGATTAGCCACATCAATGTGACCCCATTTAGATCTGGATCAGGTAATATCCTGATCACGGGCCGTTTGAAACTCCTGCTGGGTTCAGACACTCCCTTGGTTTCTCTTCCGTATCCATCTTCATCCATCCATGCTGGCTGGGGGATTCTGGGAGTTGAAGTCCACCCATCTTAAAGTTGCTGAGGTTGAGAAACCCTGCTCTAGATATTGTCCTTCCCTGCCTTTGTCCCGCCTGTTTTGTCGTACTGAGGGTCAAAGCCTACATCGTCATATACTTCCCACTGCTCTCCTAATTCAAGTGGCGTAACGTACAGCGACATTCCTCATTCTAGTGCCCTTTCAAGAGCTGAAATCCAAGGCCTGCCTTAAATGTGCTGTAAAACTGCCTCCCGGCATTTCAGGCACGGCTGGTCTAGACTGGTGCTTTAACACAGGAGCGGTAAGCCCACTGCCTTTCTGTTTCTCAGTGGGGCCGTTTAACTGGACCCACTGGTTTTGGCTGGGATGGCCCCTGGAGGCAGCACTCGATTTTTCAGATGCCCGGCCTCTGCAGTCCTAGGTCTTCAAAAACCCTTTTCAGAAGGACCAACGTTGGAACGATGCCCTCCGCGTTGCAATACACAAGTTGGAATTGTTTTTTTGAAGCAAGCAGGGCCATCAGGTTGTGAATAAAGGGACGGTTCCTGTCGCAGAAAGAATCTCCCGTTGTTTTAAAACCCTTATCCTTTCAGACAAACATATCTCAAATTCCCCGCCCCGTTTCCGTTTTTTTAAATTAAACTTTTTAAAAACAAGCAAAAACGAACCATGAAGGTTGTTATGAGCCACCCAGAGTTGATTTGGGGTCCGGCCCTGCCTAAGACTAATAAATAAAAGAAGAAAATATTGAATGAATGAAACAGTAAAACATAAGAAGAGACAAGTAAATCAACATGGGATCTGAAATGTCATGGAGATCCTAGTTTCTTAATGTACCATTAGTTGCTCAAAATTATGAAACGTGTTATGTCATTTTTTAAAGGAAAAACAAGTCACTATTAAGCTTTCAACTAAGAATACCTGGTTAACACAGAAGAAACCCTAACTGGAATGATAGAACATAGTGAATTTAATCAACTCTAGAAATTTAATTTCTCCTAAAATTGAAATAGAGACTCTAAACGTAGGGGAAAAAATTGTGACATGGAATGAAACCGTGCAGTAAATTGTAGTACAAAAATGGTTTTCGGTTCCTAATATAGGAATGGGTTGGGAATTGTGGAAACGTGGTTCTGTAGGTAGATATGTGCTCTGCACAACTGATTGGGTTTTTTGTTTTTTAGTTCAATTCTAACAATGTTTCCTGTCACTTTGAGAGAGAGGAATCATTGCGTTCAGCTTTGGGTTCATTTGGAAAGGTTACCAAGCATTCATTGTCCTATTATTACATATCTGTGTTCAGTGGTTCATCTTTTCCCCCTTCCTCTAAAACCAAAGGGCAAATCCAGAGGTGATTAACACACAGATCAACATGGTGCCTTTTCAAGGTTTTGGACCCCAAATCCCACAATGAATCCCAAACCATCCTTATCCCTAGTTTAAACCACGATGTAAACTCTGCTGGACTGCAGAGGCCAGGGTCAGCCTTCCCTTTGTTGGGTGGGGATGATGGGAGTTGTAGTGGCACGGCTGGAGGGTGCTGAGGTTGAGGCCTGCCTTCTGTGCACAAAAGGGTTATCGGCCGCAAAAGCTTCCATGATGAGTACACGTCATCCTCGCTTAGCGCCTGCCTTGTTTAGCAACTGTTCGCAGTTACGATGGTGATGAAAAAGTAATTTAGCGACCACTCCTCGCATTTATGACGTTCGTGGGTCTGTAAAGCAAAGGAAAGCTGAAGTCAGATTATAAGCACAGTTGTGGTTTCACTTAGGGACCGCTTCGCTTAACCAAGCTGCGAGTCCCAAGTGTGGTTGCTAAACAAGGACTGCCTGTAATCTAATTTCTGTCCAGCTTGACGGCAATGCCAGATTCATATTGGTGACAGTGGAAATACTAGGTTATATTGCATGCTATGATTTCCTTCGGTTGTGACACAGTCTGAGATGTAGGGAGTTAAGGCATCAAAAGTTTGTCTCTTTCTCCCCTTCTTGGGCTTCAGAAAGTTCCCATCAGAGCAGTCCTTGGCTCATCGTCTCTCTGGTCTCCTTCCAATACCGGTCCTTTGCTCCCCGATACTTAATGTGACTTATTTTTCCAGTCGGAGCCCTGCCCCTTCCTCCTGTGAAGGCAGTTATGTTTGTGTCAGGTCATGCACCCTTTGAAGATGCCTTTTTGAATTGTGAAATGTTTTCCCCCCAAGGGAAGCCCCTCTGAGCATGTACGTTAGGAGAAATGAAAAGTCTGTTGAAAGCTTGGTTTTTTTGAGGGGGGGGAATACATTGTGCCAACCTGTGAAATGAACCGCCTTTGTCTGATTCACACCTGACGGCCTGCTGTTGTTGACTAGGAATCCTTTGACATGCTAGTTGACTAAGCTGTGACACACACACACACACACACACACCCAGAGTCACTAGACCACAAATGGAGCGTCCTTGGGCAGCTCATTTCGAAAAGGTCCTTTGAAGCAGCCAGGAGTGCCAGTTCATACCTGTTTGCAGTTCTTTAAAGCAGCTGGGCATTTTCCTGGGATCACGCGATTGCCCTCTGCAACGGCCACGTGATCCCTGGAGAGGACACGGCTGCTTTAAAGAGTTGCAGACGGGTGCTACGCACGTGGTCCAAAGTCTCTTTCCGGACTCAAAGCATTCCATAGCCTGAAAGCCTTATGGCTGTCTCCCAGATGTGCTGGATTGCAATTCCCATCTGTGTTTTTCCTTCCGGCGACTGCCGATAGACACTTAGAAGGAAAGGAAATGCTGAAGCTGAATTCCCAGTTTCTACAGAGGCATTAGCCATAGTTATTTCTTTCTTCTGAGCAGTTGAAGGAAACATTTAATCCGTCATCGTCAAGGATAGGCTAGCCGACTTTTAAAAAAAATATAATTTCATATATCAGGATTTGCAAGGAAAAAGAAGAAAACACAATCCGTCTTGCGGAATACAGTACACGTTAATGGCGAGTTCTTTACAGAGTGTCGTAGGCAATTGGATAAGATGGTATCAGATACACATCGGAGCCAAAAAGACACGGGCTGAACGTCTGAGGAGTGGCGTGGCAAATCAGTTTAGGAAAAATTGTCCTATTTTCAACACACGGGAGATTTCTTGGTTGCAGTTTTATACAAGTGGAGCCTTTAACCTGATTTGCCCTCAACGGAAAGAGCTCCCAAACTATTTTGGAACTCCTGTCCGGGCTTCATATGTTGTATTTTGCTATAGGGTGGTTTGTTGAATTATCCTTTAATGGGCTGTGTGAGGCACAACAAAATTATGGTTTGGCAAGCAATGCCTTAAGGCAGTGTTTCTCAATCTCAGCAACTTTTGGATGTATGGACTTCAACTCCCAGAATTCCCCAGCCAGCATGGGAATTGAAGGGAGTTGAAGTCCATACATCCAAAAGTTGCTGAGATTGAGAAACACTGCATTAATGCTTAACGTGCCACATGAACCCAGCCAATTGTGGCTTATTTCACAAAGCAGACTGAGTTTTCTGGTCAATAACCATAATTAAGTGTACTTCTAACTGGCTCGGCATAATGTGTGAATCCAGTCCTTGAGTCAGATCCCCCTATTCCACTCAGCCTGCATTTGTCTCTTCTGTCTGGCTGCGTATTCTGTCCTCATGAGATACGGATCTGAATCTCATTTCTCACTAGTCAGACAATATTAAACTCCTATCATTCCACTCTTCTCTTACAGTCCAAAATAAATGTATTGCTTTGAAGCCATGATAAGCTCAGTGGATTAAGTCAGGATACAGTAGAAATGCAAATGATTTGGCTTCAAAGCTCATTGCAGGGGGAGACGAGATGAGAAAGCAAGGGGTAGATGGTGAAGAATAGAAAGAATGCACAGCTGATGCAGGTGGCTGTTGATCCCTGGTAATGTCAGCCTTACCAGGTAGGCCAGACAGGAAACACGGCCAGAGAAGTTAATTCTACTTTATTGTAACAGAATCTTGCAAATCTGAACGTACAATTCTCCCCCCGTCTCCTTTACAGCCTGAGGGAGGGTCCTTCCTGAGCCTCTTGCTCTGTCCATTATGCAGCTGTGGGCTATGCTCCCTCTTATCTGCCCAGTCCCTAGGCAGCATCTCTTCACCTGGTCTCCCAAGGTCATTCCCACATACAGGTGACCACAGCTCCATAGAGGGTCCCATGATGACTGGTACAAGCAGAGCACACTGGCTGTCCTACCATCCAGTCCTTCCAAGCCATGGCTAATGGCTGGAGGAATTTCGGATGTAAGCAGCTGTGGAATGAGAGGTTACAATCATGACTATGAATAGGCCAATCCACACTAGGCAGGATAGGTCAGGAGGGCTGAAAGAAAATGTGGGATTTGGGGACTGGTCCCCCCATCCCAAGGAAACTCAAGTTTGGCTGTATTTTTCCAGGCTTCAGGACTAGCGAGGATGATCCAAGATTTTCATGAGCCAGCAAATGCCATAAATGGCACTTCTAATATTTGTACTTTGGTGAGCCATTAAGGCCTCGGATGCAAACACGAGCAGCTTCTAGTCTTGTTTGCACTGATCA